ACTTGAGGTGGGTTAACTCAAGTTTGTAGCCACAAAGTAATGGGTTTGATTATTTTATGGTTATAGAACTATTTATTATTTTATGGTTATGTCACACGTCAGTTTTTCTTTCTTTCTTACTAAACCATAATCTACCTGCTTCTAAAAATACCTGATGCATACTCTTCCATACATGCCTTTTAAATGATAAAAGGATGGATCTAGTTTATATTTGTACAAAGGGAACTGTAAGTTCTTGGTTCCTCATTTATGTATGCTGGAGGAGAGTCAGGATAATGTCTGAAACTTGCTTTGAGCATAGAAAATTCAGGTTGAAAAGGACCTGAAAGGCTGTCCAGTTTAACCGCCTATTTGATGTTTGAATCTGCTCAGGGACAGCCTGAAGACTGGGTTCCGCTCATGCTCAGGACCCCGCCGTGACAGCATAACTGACCACAAGGCACCCTACTGCCCTCTCCCATGGCCTGCCTACTGCGATTTTGTCCCTAAATGGGTGAGAATGCCTGAGATTTCTCCCTGGCATTCTCACCCATTGGTCTTTGTCCAATCGGCCCTCCTGGGTCTTATAGAATACACAGGCCTAATTCTTTCCTCCCTGACTACACCATTATCCAGTTTTATCCATTATCTAGGTTTTCTAGGTTAAACGTTCTTGGCTTCTTCAGTCATTTTTCATGCCACTTGGGTTTCTAATTCTAAAATTTATATGAACAATTTTAGAAAAGTAGAATAAGTAGGAGGGACTTGTCATACCAGATATCAAGGCTCTTTATAAAGCTATAGTAATTAGGACTTTTAGGATTATATTCTCTAATTCTATTTTAAAAACAACCTTGTTGACATTTTAATTACATTTGCATTAAATGTATGATTGATTTGGGAACTGACAGCAACTTTACAATATAGCATTTCCCGCCCATGAATGAATGCTACCTTTTGTCTGGAGTTTTAAAATGTCCTCTGCTAACATTTCATATTTTTTCCAAAAAGTTTTTGTATATCTTGTGGATTTGTTACTGGGTACCTTCAGCTTTCTTTTTCCATTATAAGTAGAATTTTAAAAAGTCATTCTTTCCCATTTATTGTTCCTGCTGTATAATAATAATGCTAGTGATTTCTGATGTGGATTTTATACCCAAAAATCTTGCTGAATTCTCATATTGATGTTAACAGTCAAGGATAAATTTTATTTAAGTCATGATTTATTGTTATTATTACATTCTGAGGTATCTGATTTGCTCATGGTTTATATAGGATATTCATGTCTTAACTGAGATGGGTCTGTAAGTGTCCTTTTTGTACTGATACTGTTCAGCTTTGATGTTAAGGTTCACGTGGTAGGTACTACTCACTGCCTTCCCAGCTGTCACCATCCATTTCATCCCCTTCCCCAGAAGCAGATCATGTCTCTCTTGAACATCTTCCTCTTTTTATCGAAGGAAAAATCTTATATTTCATTGGCTGGAACTAGGTGGTTTGGCCTCCCCTTGCTGCAAAGGTGGTCGGGAAGGTGGGTATCTGATATTTTCAACCCATGAATTATTTGGGAATGCTTACATTTTCTAAATGATGAAAAAACTCTTTGTTGTTGTTATCAATTTATTTTTGTAATCAGCCCACAGGATCTCCATGATATTGATTTTCTGGTATTTGTTGAGATAGATTTCTGGCCTGGTTTGTAGTCAGGTTTTGTACATTTTCGTGTGTGTTTGAAAAGCATACTGGTTCCAGAATGTAGTAATGTCCACTGGATCAAGCTTGCCATTCTGTTGTTTATATTCTCTCTGTGTCTCAGTCTGTTAAACTGATATTATGTTAAAATCCCCCACTATAACTTTAGGCTACTTATGATTTTGTCAGTGTTGCCATATATTTGTTGCTCTAGGTTGAGGTTTAGGATTTAATTCACATACCTTTATTGTGCCCACTGATGTATTTTGATTTATCTTATCATCAAAATTTGTTTTCTAGTTATGCTTTTTGCAGGATTCTCTTTGTTCTTCCTCTGCCTTCTTTTGAATTGATCAAGTTTTCTCTTGGATGTTAAATACTTACAAGTATATACCTGCTCCTTCAGAGGTCACCTTTACATTTTGAATATGCACACTTGCCTTTCAAAAGTTTAAACGAATCAACATTTCCCTCCTCTTCCTAAATAATATTTGCAACTTAAGAGTGTTTTTACTATAATTACTATGCTCTCATCTTCTGCTATTACTGTCTATTATTTAAATTCCATGAACATACCCACAATTACTCATCATTAATATTTTTAAAACATTCTATGCTCATTCAGATTTGCCCAGATGTTTACCAACTTCTTGTTTATTATTACTTCTAGACCCTCCCCCCTTCCTTCTTGGATTCAAGTTCCTTTTACTTCAAGTACATACTTTAGTAGTTCTTTCAGTATGAGTCCCTGTAACCTCTCTGTCTTTTATTGTAAAAAATAATTTAAAAAATTTTTTTTATTGATTTCAGAGAGGAAGGGAGAGGGAGATAGAAACATCAATGAAGAGAGACTCATTGATTGGCTGCCTCCTGCATGCCCCACACTGGGGATCAAGCCCAAAACCCGGACATGTGCCCTGACTGGGAATGGAACTGTGACCTCCTGGTTCATAGGTCACTGCTCAAACACTGAATCACATCACCCGGGCTCAAAAATTATTTTTATGCACAAGTCTCAGTTCCACCTCCCATTTGCATAAGCCAAGGCCATATATCTGTCCCCTATGGGTGTGGCACCTCTCAGATGTCAGGCCTCACTTAGTTCTGACTGCCTCCGGCTTCCTTAGCATTCGCTCATCTGCTTTCCGTTCTGGTTTGAGTTTCCTCTTTATTTCTCGTACCTGAGGATTTCCCTTTCTTTGTTTGGAACTCCGCTTTATATTGTTATATTTCATCCTGTGTTTGTCATACGAGGTGGGGGGAAGGTCCACATTAATCTTTTTGGTACTTATTCCTGGAAATCCAGATATTCTATTTATAACAAATTTCCCTCTTACTGCTGTTTATTATTCTCCTTTAAAATAAATACCATATTTTTGATAGAGAAAACAGACATGACAGAGACAGCTGGATACTTCTTGTTCTGTTTTAGGAAAAGTCAAGTTTTCTAAAATTTCTTCTAGAATTTGGTAAATACAGAACATTCCCCAGGCAATAACTGTACCTGTTTTCTTACATCTCCCTTACTTCTCTTTGCTATACAGAGATGATCTGGGCTCTACATTTGAATTATATCGCCTGCACTAACAAGCCAAAGTAGCATGTTTAGAAACCTCTCTCTGAAAGGAAACCGTCCGCAGGAGAGACCCAGGGCTCAGCTACTCCTGCAAATCAACAGCTGGCTAGAGGCTGAACTGGTTCCAAACCCTGGAAATTCACAGCTCCAAGGAGATGAATGGGACCAATCTAATTTGCATTTCATCATGACTCAGGAAATCCCCGGTACTGCATCCCCAAGCAGATTAAAACATGTTGGTTTAGCTCTAGCTGGTTTGGCTCAGTGAATAGAGCGCTGGCCTGTGGACTGAAGGGTCCCAGGTTCGATTCCAGTCAAGGGCATGTACCTCGGTTACAGGTTCAATCTCCTCTCATATCAATGTTTCTCTCTCTCCCTCCCTTCCACTCTTTAAAAATCAATGGAAAAATATCTTCGTGTGGCCCAACCACACAGGAGGTCGTGGTTTGATTCCTGGCCCAGGTTTCGGGCTCGGTCCCCAGTAGGGGGTGTGCAGGGGGCAGCTGAGCAATGATTCTCTCTCATCACTGATGTTTCTATCTCTCTTCCTTTCCTTTCCTCTCTGGAATCAATAAAATATATATTTTTAAAATATCCTTGGGTGAGGATTAACAACAAAAACAAAACAAAAAAAAGAACACATGTTGGTTTAAGCAGCCCAAGGCTTCACTGAGAGATTTCCACACACCTAGTGACAGGACCCAAACTCTCCACAAAGAAGGAACAGTCCACTTCAGCCTGTCGGAGCGTGGAGGCCACGTGGGATCCAAATATGGCTTGAACGATGGTCAAAGCACGGACAATGGGTCAGGGAATAAACCGGGGGCAACATCCAGCTATTGTGTCAGAAATGCTTTCTGAATAATCACACGTGGGCCAATTGGAGAAGCTGCACGTGGGCATAAAGAGTATTCATGGAAATGACAGCAAGGCCCAGACTGGTCACACACTGGTTCACTAGAGTCAACCCTTACTTTCCATAAAATATATTCCATCTGGCATGTGACTACAAATTTCTGACCCAGGGAAAAAAGGAAAGGAAGAAAATGGGCTGGAGTGGAGGTGATTTCCATGGGGAGGAAATCAAACAAGCACTGATGATCAATTATGCCATGAGTGATAAGAAAATAGCAAGAGATTAAAGACTATATTTTGCAAAGCAGAAATGGTAGTCCTGATGAGTACTGCTTTATCATCCTCAAGTCTTTCCCCATCCGAAGCAGGGGTGACCACCTCCTCCTTGGGAAGCACGGGTCCACCCAAGAAATGGAAACCACCTGAGCACTGGATAGCACACACTGGTCACAGGTGACCGTTCGTTTGGTCAATTCCCTTGCAGACACCTGAGTGGTCACCTGGCAGGAAGTGGGAATCTTACCACGCCAAGACCCCAATGGCACACGGCCACCTTCAACACTTCTTTACACTCCCTTGCAGGCAAAGCCAACTTCTAACCAAAGGAGAAGACAAAGCCCTTTCATCCTTAAGATCAGATTTCACCCTAACCTGTCCCTTAAAGCGTGGGGAAGGTAAGAGGAAAGCTCCTCTTGATGAAATGCAGTTGAGAACTATTTTGCAGAACACAGGGGATTCTGTTGTTGGAAACAACTAGATTGGTGGATGCAGAGAGCTGACCTAATGACTTTCAAGCTGCCTTTTTATCCCACCTCGACCTCAGGTGCTATGGGGCCAAGTGAGAGGGGCTCCTGTGTGGTGAGGGCCCAGAGGCAGGACACCAGCTGCCACCACTCACCTGTTGAGATACACACGCTTCTCGGTGAACTGCCCGTTGCCGTGGTTAGGGTCCTCGAAGGGCTCATTCTGGACAACTTCTACGCCTTCCCCTCGGTCACTCTGCTCATGGCTGTGCTTGCTGATCATGTACAGCTGTCCGATTTTGTACTGCAAAACACAGAGACGGAGGTCAGCCCCACGTGCCCTTTGAAAACATTCCCCCTCCCCCATAAAACAACTAACAGCACTTTCTGCTCAGGAAAGAGAGCAGACACGTGGGCCTGGTGTTCCTTCTCCTGGGGAGCGAGGAGAGCAAGTGGTGAGCAGAAGGCAGAAACGACATGTTCCTGTGAACATTCTGCATCACGTTGGCAATCACCTTGGGGTTGGCAGCCCACCAAGCCACGGGTAGCAGCAGGGAGGCGAGGGCACGGGAATCTCCCTTCCCATCGGGCCCTGCAGGGTTAAGTGGAGCTAAAATCCTATTTTTCTCAGCAAAATACAGGCCAGGGTGTGTTCCGTCTGTCCCTTCTTTTTGCCTAATTACCTGCATTGCTGGGCACAAGAGGATTAGATGTCACCTGTCTCCTCCATCACCTCCTATAAAGGGTTCAAACTCTCCTGGAGGGCTCTGCTCCCTGGAACAGCAGTTCTCAAAGGTGGCTGGACATTAGAAGCACCTGGAAGCTCTTAAAAACTCCAGCTGTCCAGGCCCCCCAGAGTGAAACCTGTGTTCCAAAGGCCGATCCCCAGTGAGGAAAATTACGTATCTTTAACTACTTTTATCCAATTCCATTAACAGTGTGGAGCCTTCCAGCCTGGGGTCCCAGAAGCCACCTGTGCTTACATGAAAATGATAATATGGAATAACACAGAATATGGACAATTTCTCTTCTGTCCTTTTTTTCAAACTGTTCCACTCTCCTTCCTGCCTCTCTGAAAATCCTGTGGCTGGCAGGCATTTCTTCACCCAGTGAACTTCCAGGGTGGCAAAACTAATTTGATGGAGGAAAAGAAAGAGATAGAGCCTGGCTGGCATGGCTCAGTGGTTAAGCATCGACCTATGAACCAGGAGGTCACAGTTCGATTTCCCAATCAGGGTACATGGCCGGGTTGCAGGCTTGATCCCCAGTGGGAGACATGCAGGAGGCAGCAGATCGATGATTCTCTCTCATCATTGATGTTTCTGTCTGTCTCTCTCTCTCCCTCTCTCCCTTTCCCTTCCTCTCTGAAATCAATGAAGATATATTTTTAAAAATAGAAAAAAAGAGATAGAGAGGAAGGAGGGAATTAAGAGTCAGGAGACAGGACAATGCCACCTGCTTTGGTCCTTTGGGGTGAAACAACACACAGTAGTTGGGATGGGATGAGGGAAAGGGTCCTATGTCTGCAGTAAGCTAGTAACAGTTCTGGGTTGATCCCAGGCCAGCAAGGATGCAGGTCTCCTGTCTACATGCATGAGAGAGAAAGAGATATTTTAAATTATGGAGGCAGGTGAAATGTACAAGTCAGCAGGGCAATCGGTTCCAAAGCCAAGAGATCCCACTCTCACTCTGAGGCAGGTGCAGGGAGGGGAGTGTGAAGAGAATCTGAAAGGCCTTGGTCTGAGGCCAGCCCGAGGGACCAGGCCCAGTAACCATGACAATGAGAGCAGAAGGCAGCTGGTCTTCTCAAAGGGCAGTGCTCCCTGTCTGTGCCACGTCCCTTCCTAGGATGGTCGGCATTTAAAATGCCCTTTAAAAAGAAATGTTTTTTAGTGAATTTGTTGCGGTGACATTGGTTGGTAACATTATATGGGTTTCAAGTGTACAATTCTATCATACATCATTTGTATAGTGTATTGTGTGTTCACTACCCCAAGTCAAGTCTCCTCCCGTCACCATTTAGCGTCCCCCCCTTTACCTTCTTCTATTAAAATACTTTTAACAGGAGTGTATGTGTTCTTGGGAGGAGAGATAGCTGTGAGGATAAAAGCAGCAAGAGGAGAGAGAAAAATCAAAGGTAAAAATCTATTTTTAAAACAATTTCTGGGATCAGAAACATGACTTGGCTTCCCCTTAATAAGTCCTTACTTTTACTTTTGCTCACAAAGACTAACACTCTTTTGAGGAGGAAGACAGTAAGAAAAAGCGTACAGAGTAAGATCTGTGCGCTATACCCTTGAGATCAACAATCCACCTTATGCAGAGGGGAACACAAGCCTATAACAGAATAATTCACTGCTCAGGGAGCAAAGATTTCACTGGCCGTTGCTATGTACTCGGTGTTCAAAAAAGAAGTATTAACCTACAGTGGAATATTATTCAGCTAAAAAAGGAATGAGGACTTCAGAGTAGGCACTAATCCAATGGGACTCATGTCCTTATACAAAAGGGTAAGTTGAACACAGACACACATAGAAAGATGAGGTGAATCACTGCAGGGAGAAGACGGCCGTCTGCTAGGAACCTGCTGACACCTTGATCTTGGACTGCCAGCATCCATGACTGTGAGACCGTAAGATTCTGGTTGAAGCCACCCAATGCGTGGTGCTTTGTTACAGCAGCCCTAGCAACTAATACAGTGGGTGCGGGACGAGGTTCCCTTTAGGATGATGAAAGTGTTTTGGATCTGGATGGAGGTGGTGACTGAATATTGTTATAGACTAGATGCCACTGAATTGACCTTGAAATGATTAACTTTCTGTTATGTGATTTTTCACCTTAATTTTTTTTTAAGTGTTGACTCTGCTTCTGAAGTAGTTGCCCTCTAAACCAAAATTCTGTCGAGGACTTTAGTGGGGGATTTGGCAGAAGGGACATGTCTACCACTGGATGGTCTTTATTTTTCATATGTGAGTGGGTTGGAGCTCCTAAACAGGATCAAGAACAATGCATGACACAGAAAAGCCATCAGCCTGACTCTGCTCAGCTCAAGTGCCTCCTGCTCCGAGGAGAAGGGACTGGGCCTAGGCAGCAGCAGCTGATTCACGGCGCTCAGAGGAAGGCCCGGCTGCCTGGCTGCCCCACTGCCTGGCTCATTGATCATTCCAGGGACTCCTGAATGAGCTAGTGCCCAGCAGACATCAGCCTTAGCTCACTAAGATAGAGTCAGGCTAGGGGCGACTGACTGACACTAGATGCAAAGATGTAGGTGACATTGAGGAGGTGGGGGTAAAGGGAGGGTGGGGACACTCAAGCCCTGACACAGATGGTCAAGGGCTCAGCAGCGGTCACTTCTCTCCTTCCCAAGCAAATCAGGTCTGCTCGGCTGGTTGTGGCCATTGGAGCTGGGCCATCCAGAAGCAAAGGTTTTGCTGCTGTTTATAAACCACAGACACATGCATTTCTCAGTTAGGGGAAGAGGGCAAGACAAGACGGTTCATGAACCACCTGCCTCAAAATCACCAAATACACTCCTAAAAATGCTAAATCCCAGGCCATTCCAGCCCTTTTAAATTCAGACTCTAGGGGACAAGGAAGTTGGGAATCACACTCAAATGCACACTAAATGCTAAGAACCACTGGGTCAGAGGGAGACAAAGGCACTCATTAGGACTTGCTCAGCACAAAACGGTGCCCAGGCATTTCTTGCAAAGCTCCGTCCTAATTTAGTGAAAATACCACATCCTTGACCACCAACTCCAAACAAACTCATATGTCAAATGAACACAGCCAAATCCAAAGACTCAGAACTCCATAGACTTTGAAGCCAGATAATTGATGGTGACGATGTTGATGATAATAGTGATGGTGGTGGTGATGACGATGGAGTGACACTATACAGCTTAACTGATTTCCTATAAATTAGGTGCTTCGTGTTCATTTCTAATACAATGACTCATGCAGAGGGGTATTTTCAGACGAGGAAGCTGTCTCAGAGAGGTTAGAAACTCTCTCAGGCCCCGAGCCTTCTAGGTGGTAGAGCTGGGATTTAACATCACAGGTCTGCACTCTTTCTTCTCCACCCAACTTCAGCCTTTATGTCTCTAACAGGTGAATTGCTTCAACAAATCAAAGCCTCACTGTGATTAAAGGGGGGAGGAGGGTTGTTCAGAGCCACTGTTACAGAAGATGAATAATAAAAGCCCGATATCATTTGAAAGATCAAAGTTGTTTAAACTGTGCTCACATATGAAATGGTGGAGCAATTATGCTCTAACTTGGTAAAATCTATTGTTATAATTCCAGAGGTTGGATAATCATCATTACAGGCAATCACAGTAGAGACAGCTCTGCACTGCAGGGCTGGGCCCCCATGTGAGCCATCGTCAGGATAGCTACCCCAAGTAATTAGCTCTGTAGTTAAAAAGCATCATGGGGACTCAGATCTTTCGCACTTGCACACAGCGCCACAAAATTTGAGAGAAGGAAGAGTTGCGTAATGTACCTGGAAAAGCCGAGAGGTTTCAACAGTCTGCACTTTGCAAACTCTATGGCTGGGCATAATCATCCTAATACAGTTCAACCTCCAACTCTGATGTTACAAAAGGAGACCCCAAGATGAAGCTCCTGAGAATGGTAAAGAATTATTAAGGGAGCACCAGTAACACCGTGAACATCACCCTTGCCAGAAGAACTACTGGACCCAAAGTTTTAGGCTCAACAGAACTCCTAAGGCTGATAGGCACTTAACTGCTCCCCAAAGCTGCTGAGCTTCAGAGATCTCTGCAAGCTCGCCTCCCATACACCCCACCCTAAAGAACCAAGGGGGTAGCGACCTATCTTCCTTCCAACCCTGTCTCCTCCCTTCCTATTCTCTTTCTCTTCCTCCCAATTCTATTTCCAAACCTCTGCTTTGCAATAAACATCATTGACTCCGTATGGAGTTATCTCCTGATGATATGACGTGGGACCTAAAGGCAGGTACACCATCAAAATGAATGGATGTCACATAACCCAATGACCACAGAGAAATACCGATCCTCTGACTTAACGTGGTATCATGTATTTTTTCCACCTGTGAAATGGGCTTGATTCCTGCCTGTCTTACTCTGGCTGTGTGGGAGAAGGAAACAGTAGAGGGCGATACAATTTGGTATTCTTGGGAGTTTCCCACATTATTCACAGCACTGTTAATGCATTTGTTGAAATTCTTTCTTCTAGCCTTCTCCACTTTCAATACATGGACCTCAAAGTGCAGTGAAGCAGTTGCCTCATGAAGGGCAAGGAGACTCCTGAAGAGAGAGCATC